CCCCCCCCCCCCACCCCCTCTGGAATTGAAATTGAATCTCCTGTGCGCAGCAGCGAAGTGCCTAACTGCTACACCCTGCACACCAGTAACTGAGTATCTGTTCTGTTTTTAAATGGAAAGACCTCTGTGTATAGATATGATACTATATTGCCCCCCCACGCTCAAGTCTGGACCTGAGCTTGGGCCTGCAAAACTAAAAATTTGCTGTGTGTGTGGCCAAAGTCACTGTACTGTATGTGTGGCCAAGGTTTCATGTAACCAGGTGTGGGTTTAGAAATTTAGGGTGTGCCAAATGTTTTCCCATCGATCAGGGGTGAGCGGAGTGGTGGGGTAAGAAATTCTCACTTTTCTAAATCAAAGAAATATAATGTATTTGATTTCAGATTCATTATCATTATCAGGGTCAAATTTACAATAAATTTGATGCTTAAACATGCCCTTTTGATATTAAATAAAAATTATACATAAAAAAACCAAAACCTCTACATCTTGTGCCTACTATGTAAATTTACCATGATTTGACTGTCTGGTGTCCACTGGCTTGTGCATGTGTAGCCGAATCGCTACCCCAGAATTACAAAGTTCTATTTGCTCAGGACCTAGTTTTGAGAAATGTGACATCAAAATTTTTGAGTCTCACAACATGTCAAGCTTTTTTTCGCATGCATTCCTTTGAATATCTTGATAACGACTCTGAATAATCTTACGATTTTGATAGAGCAGATAGAACATTTGGTTTCTGACCTCATGTCTTAGTAACTCAAAACGGCCAAAAATGTCAGATAGAACTTTGTAATTTTAAGGTAGCCAAATCTTTCCTCACTGTGCAGGTATCTGGTGTCTTACAGATAGGCCTACATATTATTGAGATGCCAAAGATATTACTGAGATTAATTTGCCAATATCATCAACAAGTCACACAATGTTTATTTGCATTTACCACACTGTTTATTTCGTTCGCCCCTCCAGCTGGAGGGATGTTGGTGTCACATTCAGTTTTTGAATCATGATGTCACAAGACAGTTTGAATTATGATTTCGCAATAGAAGACAGTTTGAATTCTTATGTCCCAAGACAGTTTAAAATATGATATTGTAATATGGTTTGAATCATGATGTCAGAAGTCGATTCAAATTTGAATTTGAATCATGATGCCTACAAAACAGTTTGAATTATAATATCACATGACAGATTGAAGTATGATGTCTTGTCACAAGACAGTTAGTACAAGACAGTTTTAATCACTATGTCATTAGACTGATAGTTTGAATCACGATGCCGCAAGATAGTTAGAATCATGCAGTTCGTGCTCTCTGTTCAGGGCCCTGATCAACCAACTGCAGGGCGGGGATCAAAAAACTTATGCTTCTCTTGTCCCTGTTATTTCTTTCTCAAACTAGTACATGTTACTAGAATGTATATACCGGTAATTCATAATAATATATATAGACTGCAATGTGTTATATAAATATAAACACAAGCAATGTGGTAAGGGGTTGGGGGGGGGGAGGCGGGGGGCATCGGCATTAAAATCAACAATCAAACAAATTGAATAACAAACAAGGTGTCATCATATAGTCATATATATACACCAGGGTCTGCACTTTTGAGGAGTACAAGGTGTAATGATATTACAAGTTCAGGTCACTGCTTGTTAATTTTCAATTTTTAAAAAAGAAGAGGCTAACGTTTTCATATCACCAAGGTGATCCCCACTGCCCAGCAAAATTACCAAATCAACCACTGGTGGGCGGTATTGCCCAGATTGTTAAGCGTGACTGATCTAGACAGATCTCTGTTTTGGAAGTGGTATGATATTCTACGAGTATGTCACACTCATTATATGGAAAGACAATACTGTAGTGAGCTACAAAAAGTAGGCTCTGCAAATGGCATTGTCTAAATTGTAAACATAAGTTATTTTTTCAGCAGGCAGTTTTCACAAAGAATGTATAGAAATTAGAAGCTCTACAATTGTTTGCTTTTTCTAATTTTCATCTATCGCCCTTGTCTCTCCTCCTTTTTTGTGTTTGTTACTCGCTTGTAACAACTCTAATTTTCCCCACTTGTGCCGTAAAATGCTTTATTTTAAAAAAACATTAGAAAAAATTATATTTTAGTCTTTAATTGTTCTATTCCTTCACTTTCACTTTTTGTTGTTGCTCCAGTCTACTCAAGATTTTTACTGCATGTGTACACTGTACACTAGGCTAAGTAGATTCGATTTTGTATTGAAAATATAGATCCTAAAGAAAAGCTCAATTGACTCTCAACTGTTGTTTCCTTTAAAAATCTAGAAAAAAAAAATTTCAATGCTTTTGGCTGCTAACATTTTCAACATTTTGATCTAATATACGGTACCTATTTTGGTGCTTCTACACTATAGACTTGATTCTTGATATACCACACACAAAAAAAAGGAAAAACCAATATTTTTTCATACTTAAATGGATATTGCATTTTGCCCAAATCACTCCCATCTATCTGACATCTTAATTTTTTTCTTTTTATACAAAGATAGATCTAGTAAAAAAAGAATAATTCACCTGCATAACCTATAATTATGGACCTAGAGGAAAGATAAATCCAGGGGGCTCTCGTTGTCAAATAGTTAGTGGTCGCCTTTCGTCTAATCGGTACCAGGTTCGAATCCAGAAAGCGACGGAAAATTTTCTTTTCCCAGAATGTTCTCTTTTCACCTCCTTTCCTGCTCTCCAACAAAGTTCTGTCGTCTACTTTCATCTCCTCTTTCTGCCGACACCCCCTCACCTCCTATGCCCCCTCCTCTGGGCTCCTGACTCTTTCTGCAGCTTTTCTACTTCTACTCCTAGGCTACTTCTTTCTGCTACTTTCTCAGCCACACCCCTGATCTTATGGCAGGAAAGATCTTACAATTAGCCTTCTAATTCTAAGATAAGGGCGAAAAATCTAAGAGGTACTGTGAGCAAGTTGCGTACGTTAAAAAGACCCCTACTAGGTTGTCCAAAATCGTATAATAGTAGGCTTCAGCCACCACCTGGGCAAAATAACAAATTTCCAACTCACTGAAAATGTTTAATTTGTCCTGCCTACTCATATGGCCTTATACTGTTGCGAGCGCCGTAAAACATTTAAATTTA